AAATTTGATTCATTAAAATTGACTTTGAAATGTTTAACCAATTGTTACACGATTTATGAATAAATAAAGTCACCATTGTAGTAAAATAAAATTAATTTTTCAGAGTGCTATTAGGCCTTCTCATAAACATAATATCTTTTTGTTTAAAGCTGTTACAATGACCGACTAACTGGCAAGCTTCAGTGAAATAAAGAAAACTAAATTTATTACGTATATTTTTTAGTTAAGCACTAACAAAATAGATTTTTGTAAATTTATTCCATTAAAGTCTCGACTGAGAACTTAAACAGTTAGGAATTGGAGCAGAAATATGTCAGTGTGTAGGTAAGGTCCTACAACCAAATATTAAAAAGTGTGGATTTTTTTAGTGTGTTCGAACAGTTCAAAACCCTTTATAATATTAGCCAATGTATTTACTATTGTGATGAGATGTAAGGCTATTCCAAATATCTTATTGATATTCCTGCTATGACATGAGTTGGTAAATAAATAAATAGAACACATTTTTCGCCAGTAATTGTATTTTCAACAAGTAACGTTTTTAAAATAATATAAAATCGTAACGTATTCTTGGTATTTTTTTATCAGCAACGTTTCTTCTTTATCATCAACAAAGCTTAATGAGCATCATGATGCACTCGGTGTTAAGTATGTTCATCGTTGTTAATTGACTTCAAAACGAATGGACGGAGCTGGGTGAAATCTTCAGATTGGCTTAGCGCATGATCCTGTGAAATTTTATTTACGATCAGATCAAAGCCTAATAAAATATCCACCAGCGAAGTGGGCCGAGTTTGCTAGTTGCGTACTAAAAAATATTTCGATACTTGAATAATAGGGGTTAAAGTATGAAATTGCCATTTTATTGTAATAGGTACCTACTTCGAATTGACATACATCCTTCATGAATTGAAATGTTTGAGTGAAACTTTTTTTAAATGGTACTTATGAGATGATTCTTCTTTTAAAAAATTTGCAACATTCCATTACAATTTTTTTTTTAATTTTTTTTTTATGTTTTTATTGTCATACGAGCATACGGCCCACCTGATGGTGAGTGGTTACCGTCGCTCATGGACGTCAGCAATGCCAGGGGCAGAGCCAAGCCGCTAAACTTTGCAACAAGCAACTTTGAGTTGTTTTTTTTATTCACCTTTGACAAGTGATTTTTCGACTGATTTTTCAAGTAAAACGCCGCAACAATGTCCTAAAGCAAGTCTTACCAATAAAAAGGTAATGGTAGGTAATGGTAGTCTCAGCATGGTGTTATTCACTATAGCTTTCTCCGATCTGGTCAAACAATAACGGCAGATGTCTACTGAGCCGAATCCCGAACAATGATAGCAAAACTGGCAGTGAAACAGCCCCGACTCATGAATCAATCCTCACCATTATTGCTCCATAATAACGCGAGACCTCATACAGCACGAGAAACTCTTTTAACTCTACAGGAACTGCAATTAGAGACTATCCGTCACCCTCAGTATTCGTCAGACCTTGCTCCAACGGACTACATTGTTTTCGTAATTTGGACAATTTTCTACGTGATAAAAAGTTTTCTTCCCAGGAGGCAATGCAAAATGCTTTCACACAGTTTGTAGAGTCAAGATCACCAGAGTTCTATCGCAAAGGCATAAATGACCTTCCTAATAGATGCCAACAATGTATAGATAATAATGGTAGTTATTTTGATTTATTTTTACTGGTGGGAGAACCTCTTGTGAGTCCGCGCGGGTAGGTACCACCACCCCACCTATTTCTACCGTAAAGCAGTAATGCGTTTCGGTTTGAAGGGTGGGGCAGCCGTTGTAACTATACTTAGACCTTAGAACTTATATCTCAAAGTGGGTGGCGCATTTACGTTGTAGATGTCTATGGGCTCCAGTAACCACTTAACACCAGGTGGGCTGTGAGCTCATCCACCAATCTAAGCAATAAAAGAAAAAGAAAAAAAAAAGTTAAATGAAAAAGAAAAACGATTTTCAATTTTTCAGTACAAATCGGCAATTTCATACTTTATAATATTAAGGTCGATTTTATTTAATCGTATCGCGTCGTGTGAACAGAGTTGACAAGGTACGTCAAAGCTGACCGAAGCTCCTAATGACCGCTGGCTCGTGTGTCACGGAACAGGCTAATATTTATGTAAATTGCGGAGAATATGATTAGTCTGCGTCTCCCTCTTTGATAATCATATTTACGGCCGCCAGCCCTCCACCCAGCGGGTGGCAGGCGATGTCCATCGTATTTTGATTTCCAAGTTTTGTTAGACAAACATATTTTAATGAATGTGACTTTGCAGAATAGATTTGTTCCCTTTTCAGTTTAAAAAAATTGATCTTAATTTAAATTATAAAAACGGCCGTCTGGTGTAGTGGTAAGTGACATGGTCACTCCACAAGGGGGTCGCGGGTTCGAATCCCGCCAAGGAAAGATATTTGTATGATAAATATAAGTGTCTTTTCCAGGGTTATGGATGTATCTTAAATATATGTATGTGTATAATAAAAATCTTACATTTATATCCGTTATCTGGTACCTGTAACACAAGTTCTTTACGAACTTATCACGGGACCACTTAACGTGGCGGGATTGTTAGTAAATATTTATAATATTTATTTATTTATAATATTATTTATTTTAATTCGTGGTCAAAATTTTATCCTAATTACCAATTAAGTACGCATTAAGATAAAATTGATGGTGTCATGTATTCATGTCCGATTTTAGATTGTAGGTACTCGACCAACTATTATGTAAGTTTCCCTCAAAGTAGGTGTAATGAAAATGTTTAATACGAAAACAGTGAGGTATGTGCGAAAAATAAACATAATAAATATTAATACTTACTTACTTACTTATAATAATGCTTTTTACTGCTAATAATGCTTATTTCTGCCGTGAAGCAGTAATGCGTTTCGGTTTGAAGGGTGGGACAGCCGTTGTAACTATACTGAGATTTTAGAACTTATACCTCAAGGTGAGTGGCACATTTATGTGGTAGATGTCTATGGGCTCCAGTAACCGCTTAACCAGGTGGGCTGTGAGCTCGTTCATCTAAGGAATAAAAAAATAATAATATGTAGGTATGTATCTGTTTAAAAATTGTTAAAGATAGTTATTGACGAGGCTTAGTATTGTTTGACAATAAGAAAATAGGATATAATCGGGCTGTTATCTTTAAAATGTCAATAACACAGCGGTAGAAGAAAAGGGAAACTGTAGGGAATAAGTAACTTTAAATCTAAATCTTGATTGTTATTAATTAAGGTGCAATTTTGATCGTTTGACCAATGCAGGATTTAGTGAAGCATCATCATAATTTAAGAAGTGGGTTTAAACTTGTTTGGACATTGAATTTTGAAATATGCTAAACTGTATTAAATGCAATGGGCTCCAGTAACAAATCAACATTTGGTCAGCTGTGAACTCACCTATGTACGGTATTTACGGCAATACGTAGGTAAATAATATAACCCGCATTTTTCACATATATTTAAGATCCGTCTTGTATATCTTTAGTTATGTGACTCAGTTGCATGGAGTCGATATTGCTAGGTTCGTAGAGCTACATTGAATCTCCGGTTCGATATCTAGAAAAATTATAAAGGAAATTTGTAGAAGAAAAGCATGTCCGCCTCAATTTAAAAACGTTAGAATTCTGCGATAACAGTAACGATAGATAAGAATACGTAATACAGAATTCTCAGTATATCGATATTGTTATAGTACTGTTGATTTATATTTTTTGATTTAGATTTGATTGATTTAGTTTTTTGCTGGTGGTAGGACGGTCTTGTGAGTCCGCACGGGTAGTTACCACCGCCCTAACTATTTCTGCCGTGAAGCAGTAGTGCGTTTCGGTTTGAAGGTTAGGGCAGCCGTTGTAACTATACTGAGACCTTAGAACTTATATCGTGTAGGCTTCTTAAAGTTTTGCGTTACGAATATTCCTAGGTAGGTAGTTTTAATTGGATTTTGTAATTTATAATAATAATAATAATTTATAATAATTTTAAATGGATTCCCCAGCGTTAAAAAAAAAAAAAAAAAAAAAAAAAAAAAAAAAAAAAAAAAAAAAAAAAAAAAAAAAAAATAAAAAAAAAAAATTAAAAAAAANATAAGAGTTGTAGCTTCTCTAGTATTTCTAGTAGTCTAGGCTTTATTAAGCATTCGTGGCTTATTAGGTAAGATCTTAGTCGTTTAAGTCATGTTACAATGTCGTGCTTACTAAAGGGAGTAAGAAATTTATCTAAGTAATCATTAGACACTTAACATTTTTTTGTTAGAACGAAATTTTACAAGAGGAAATGATGAATCGAATTCTGTTCTAAGTTTTCGTTATATGCAGGCGATGGAAGTTCTTTGTGCGCACAGGTTTGTCTAAATATCCTTAGCCTTATTTTTGCAAAAAAATAGTCATCTGTTAAAGTTTAAAGGCTAGTAGTTACTTCAAGACAATTCAGATAGGCCTCTTGTCTGGTGTTAGACACTCAGATAGGCCTCTTGTCTTACATTGGTGGTTGTTTTGATGAAAAATTTTGATTGTGTTGATTGCTAAGCGAATGTACGTATTGAAATAGCTAAGGTTGTAGTGCAGACATAAGAGTTTGTTTAATTGTAAATATGGAATCACGGAGACGTATCTATAAGGCCTTAATTTGCGTTGAGACAGCGCGAACGGTCACTATCGAGTTTCCCGCGTGAAAATCGCTTTCCCCGCGGTCGCGGTGTGGCAGAGCACGTGAACGCAGTGTCCCGCCGACCGCTCGCGTGACACGCCGCGCTCCTCGTGCTGTAACCCACGATACCCATCCTACAGGACGTATGCTCCTGACGCCCGCCCGCGCCGCACTGCCGCCCGAACCGCCTGCGTCCCCCTCGCGCGCGAACACAAATAACCGCGATACGTTTTCGCGAAAACTTTTCTAATTCGACTGTGTCATCGATCGAAGTAAATAATTGAGAGGACTGTCTTGTTCGCCGCAACGGTGGAGGCGATGAGGTCGAAGGCGGTCGCGAGGCGGCTCCACGCGCAAGGTGAGTTGAATTACGTTTTTTTTTAATTGAAAACGATCTATCCTCATCATTTTCGTCATATGAAACATAAAAGCGTTAAGAGATCTTTTCATTTCGGTTGAAGATGCGCAATAGGTATATAGGTATAAGGACAGCGGGATGCGCTCGGCGCGCTCTGCTATTGGTCGACGCCTCCCCCGCTTGACAAGATAGCGAGGGCCATCCTCCGCGTGACGCGGCACACAATTATTACACTGTGTATTCGTTGCCTAGAGTTTATATTGCTTTGTACAATTCTTCGGAGGGATGTTCCCTCCTTTGTCATTTGTCATTGGATGAGCACTAAGGCCTTTCATTATTTACTTTACCACATAATATATTACAGTACTATGTCCTGGTACTTTTATTAATCAAATGTATAGTACACGTATGTCTGTTGTACACTTTTTCCTGTTTCATGTGTGAAAGTAAAGATTTAAAAAAAAAAAATCGAAATGCGTTCAGGCATTACGCATAGTACATAAAGACATGTATTTTCCAAACATTGGTTACACAACGTTTTATGCGAACAATCATCAGTTTTTACGATCGATTTTATAGCGAACAACGCGAATCGGTTTAGATAACTGAACTCGAAAGAGGAAAAATGTCACAAGGTCTTCTTTCAAATAAATTTTGTTGAAACGTTATCGATATTTAAATGCACAAAATGGGACCAGACTGTTTTCGGTATTATTTTATCATTAGCGAACAAACTCAAATATTTTAGATACCGTATTTTTCATTTTGAACGAGAAATTAAAGCTTGTAGCACATCCCAAGGTGCACATTTTCCCTTTGCAGAACTCCTGATATTGAATTGCCTTTGTTGCTCTTAGAAATTAGCTATGACAGGAACGCAGTTGTTGCCGCTGAAGTTAAAACACAATGGAAGCGCACTGCCTATCTGAAGACACGAGGATAAAGCTTAAGCATTAACGCGTGATTGCCTCGTGCTAAAAACTAAGCAGGCTCTTTGTACCAACCAACAACCTTTTTTTTATTGCTTAGGTGGGTGGACGAGCTCACAGCCCACCTGGTGTTAAGCGGTTACTGGAGCCCATAGACATCTACAACGTGAATGCGCCACTCACCTTGAGATATAAGTTCTAAGGTCTCAGTATAGTTACAACGGCTGCCCCACCCTTCAAACCGAAAGGCATAACTGCTTCACGGCAGAAATAGTCAAGGTCGAGGTACCTACCCGCGCGGACTCACAAGAGGTCCAACACCAGTAAATCATGAATATCTTCTACATATAGTTCCATTTTACATAGTTATCTTTTATTGTAGAGTCGTTCATGGATACGTGCTATCTGAATAATTATTTAGTATTATCTTTGGTTTTCGCGAGTGGTAGATAGAATTAAAACTAATCCGACCGGTAGTCGCCCGTCACCACGAAAACCCTAATGTATTCGAAGCGTCAAAAATATTATAACATATTAGTACGTGAAGCAAAAACTATGAACCCCTTCTTACGAAAATTGCGCGGACGGAGGAGTATGAAATTTCCTTCAAATATCGACAATATACAGAAGGAGTGTATAATGTTAATATTTTTTTCAATTATGAATAAAAAATACAATATTCAATAAAAAAAACATTAAACACACTTGTATTTGACATACACACGCATGCATTTGTTTATTGTCAAACTTTTCTTATTGCTTATAGTCTGTGGTCAAATTGAGAATAGATTAAATATGGTTTGTCTTCAATAATATTTGTCTAAATTGTGGTCCTAGCGAAATCTGTGATTATAGAAGTATAATAATAGCCTTTGACAATAGAACCATAATAATGTTCAAACTTATAATTTCAATTAATTATAGTCGAATATCGACTATCTACTAGAGGACCACCAGTGATAGTAAAAACACGAGATTAAACCGTAAAAATAGTTGTTAAAATAATAATTTTTAGAATTACTTAGTTTAGTGCATCAGGTGGGCTGTGAATTTCTGCAGCCATTTAATGTAATAAAAGAATTACATTAGGTTCGCACTTGAACCGGGGCTGATGTCCTCCACTCTGTGGCATGACCACAATCAGGAGTCTTACTTATTTAATTTTAAGCAACACAAGAACTGTTCTAATGAGGAGCCCGAGCGGATTGTTTCCAGAATGCCGTTCATTTTTGCAGTCACCTATCCTAACGTGAACGTGGGACAGTTATGCGCTATCTTGAAAAGTATATTGGAATAGTGTTTATTATACACTAATATAAAATAATATCAGAATAAATGATAAACTTAGCTTAGCGTTAAAAGCGACCTCTTCGATACACCCACCAGGTCATGAGGAATGTCGACTTACACGACGACCTGGGCCTCGAATCGATCCGAAAAGATATGAAGTCAGCGTCAAGACGTTACTTCGAAAAGGCTTCATGATAATCGCCTTATCGTTGCTGCTGCTGACTACTACCCGAATCCTGATCACGCAGAAGTCAGTCACCGTCGACGCCCTAGATACGTCCTTATGGAACCATCAGATACAATAACTCTTGCATTAGACGCCTTCAGCTCTAACGCTAGGAGCAGGCTTAGGGACACCAGTAACCGTACTCGTCGAACTCGGCTTTTTTTTTTATCCTACCTAAGCGTTCCTGTCTAACCTAGCGTTCTTGTCTCTCTGTAATATAAATATGCAAGAGTCAACAGTGTCAATGTAGACTTTACTAAAGTCACCTTCAGTGCAGATCAATTGATCACACACGATTATATTCTATATTATGTATTTTTATTTTCAACTCCTCTTCACTTTTTCTTTTGTTTTATGTCTGAGTCATCATTTCAGCCTGTCCACTGTCCACTGCTGAACATAGGCCTCTCCAACTGATGTCCAGTGGACCGGTCAGTTGCCACCTGCATCCAACGTGACCTAGCGATTTTCATCAGGTCATCAATCCATCTGGTAGGTGGCCGTCCCACACTGCCCTTGCCAGTACGTGGTCTCCACTCGAGGATCTTTCTGCCCCATCGGCCGTCTGATCTTTGCGCTATGTGACTTGCCCACTTCAGGTTACTAGCCCTACGGGCTATGTCAGCATCTTTGATTTTTCTATGGATCTCCTCATTTCTGATTCGACCTCGTAGAGAAATAACAAGCCACGTCTCGGAACCGTAAGTCATCACTGGTAACACACATTGGTTGTACACCTTTGTCTTAAGGCTTTGAGGGATTTTGGACGAGAACACATTTTTTTATTTACCGAACCCTGGCCAGCCGAGTTGGATCCGCCTACTGACCTCTCTCTCGAAGTTGGACTTACTTAATCGGACTGCCTGTCCCAGCTACAAATATTCGTCTACAACTTCAAGAGTAGAGTTCCCAATAGTTATGTCTGAGTAGCTGCTATTATTGTTTGCTCGATGAAAACTCATTTTGTTTTAAGGATCATCGCTTTATAACAAATTATTATACCAAATTAACTTTGAAGTCAAGATTATACGTGACTTTGCGACAATTTAAAATATGTTTAAAATAAAACTAAAAACTAGACTACAATAAACTTTTTAATTACGAGCTGAAGTCGCATTTGTAAAACATTTTGTTTAATAAAAAAAAATGTTTAAGAACTAAACTAGCACGCTTAAAAACAAGCTTAAAATGACGTATTCTTATCGTTCTTTGAGACTTGTGAAAGTTTTCATGAGATAGATGGGTCAAGCTATTAAAAACGTGTTAAATTATTTATATCTAGTTATTATTATCAATATTGTCGTCCATAATTATTATAAAATATTTTTCGTGTATCTCAGGAATGTGGACAAGATAGGACTATTATAACAAATTACATTATTATTTTAGCAACGTTTCGGTCTTTTATTAGACCTTCATCAGGCATCTGAAAATTACACATAATTGATAACCTACAATACAAAAAACTACAATTGTCCAAACTACCATATTTACCATAATATGAATTTAAATAATCTCTATCATACACTGCACAATTGTCTCTTAAAAACTTAAATTGTTAGTGTCTGTTCGTTTGTTCACAGTATCATTAGTTTTTATAAAGATCATTTCACTAACATTACGTTTCCACCAATTCATTTCTTTATCCAAGATTTCTATCTTATCAAACTCAAAATTATGATGTTGGTCAAAGTGGTGGGTTGCTAATGCCGTTTTATTCTCTTTTAATATATTAATATTTTTACAATCATAAATGTGTTGTTTTACTCTATTACTCAAATACTGCCTAGTTTGTCCAACATAGCATAAGTCACACGAACAAGGTATTTTATACACTATTCCAGTTTGTTGTTGTTTATTTACTGGATCTTTTCACTTAGAATAGATTGAATTAACTCTCAAGATGTTATAAAATGCTAATCTTACATGAGTTCCTATAAAAACTCTGTTTAATTTATGTGATAATTCTGCTATATAAGGAAACCGACAATATCTAATGTTATTATTATTTGAGTTGACCAAACTCCTTGGTTTATTATTTAAGTTCTCTTTAAATTTATTTATAACACTGTCTACTAATGGTATTTCATAATTATTATTCAACAATATGTTACGAATCTTACTAAAATTAGACAATTGTGCAGTGTATGATAGAGATTATTTAAATTCATATTATGGTAAATATGGTAGTTTGGACAATTGTTGTTTTTTGTATTGTAGGTTATCAATTATGTGTAATTTTCAGATGCCTGATGAAGGTCTAATAAAAGACCGAAACGTTGCTAAAATAATAATGTAATTTGTTATAATAGTCCTATCTTGTCCACATTCCTGAGATACACGAAAAATATTTTATATCTAGTTATATTATATTACTAATTATTATATATAGTTTTTAAATAATAAAAAATAGGTCTTAATTAAAATTATATCGCACACCAAAATATAAATTAAAATAATCATTTTTAAGATGTCCAAGACTATAACTTCCAACTTAGGTTAAACTAATAAAATCATTGCATTTTCATCGAGACTAGATACAATTTTTATTGTTA